CCCCACATATGCTTTTTGAATTTTTTTTTTTTGGCTGGGTTACATCCCTTCCCCTCCCCTCCCCCTTCTCTTTTCTTTCTGTCTATCTTTCTAATGATAGATAAGCTACTGTTTATTTCTTCTCCACTAAATTACAATGTCTTCTACCTCACAAGCTGTTGCACCCCAATATTATATTGATTTCCAACTTTTTAAAGGCTTATAATTTTCAAACATAATACTTTTAAACACAGTCTTTTGATATAGTAAAAGTCTCTCTGTAACCAAGGAGGCTGCCTCCATTCCCTAATAGTGAAATAAGACTATGCTGTTTGGAGAGTGAAATAGAAGCATTGATAAACATGCTCTAGAAAGCCAGAAGCTTTGCCAATTTATCATCTAATTAAGCTGCACACCTAAAGTATTTTTTTTTAAAGATGGGTGTGTGTTTAGCTAACAGGTGGCATGGTGGTTAAGGTGCTGGATTCCAACATGGGCAGCTGTAGTTTGAGTTCTGGACCTGGTGGCATGAAAATTATACCAGGAGTGTGCCTGTGGGTGTCCAAAATCCCAGGAGGAGAATGGAAGAGAAGGGATTGCAGCGTGGTCATCCCCCTGGTTGGTGATTTCTCACTTCCCCTCTCACTGTTCCAGTCTCTCTCTGGATAGGATGGGTCTGTTTTTTTCAGCAGTTAGAGTTGTTTTTCCAGAATTTGCCACTGATGGACTTTGGGTTTTGGCAAAGCACTTAGCCTCTCTGTATCTCCGTTTATGGATCTATCAAATGGAGTTATAAATAATCCATGTCATATATACTTTTCAGGATCGTTGGAAGATCAAATTAATAAAGTTAAATGGAAATGCTTTAGAAAACTGGCGTAGCCTGTGAATGTGAGTCTCTCTCTCCACACCCACTCACTCACCCTCCCACACCCACACCACACACACACACACACACACATACACACACACACACACGAATTTGATTACTTGAAATACCATTTTACTTTGTAATGAAATTTATAACGACTTAAGCATGATTGCCACTGGAATATTTCTTAGTTGTTAATATCATTATCTCCAAATGTAATATTTTGACTGAGACTCAGGGTACATTTCATTGTGACATGTGACATGGAGGTAATTATGAAGATGAAGAAATGTTCATTTCAAAATCACTTTGAGGGGTTGTGGTATTTTTTTGTGCCTTTAAAAATTAAAAAAATATGGTTGCAGCTATAAATTTTGAGGCTGGCAGGAATACCGTTTCCATCAAGGAAGAAAAGTCAAAGCCATATTTGAAGACAATTATGTAAGTATTTTTAAGTTCCAAAGACAGAAATGAAGGTCTGGGGTTGAGGAAAATAAGAATTCATTTCATGAGATTTTTAGAGAGTTGCCAAAAGAAAAGGGCCTTCCTCTCATATTTGTAGAATGCTGCCGTACATAGTATTTTACACATGGAAATTTTTCAACTGGGATGATTTTTCGTTCTAAATTTTCATAAAAAGGAAAATAAATGGGTAATATTAGATTAATGTAACATTTATTTTCAGAGTAATGTTCAGGACATCTCAAAATTCTTTCTGTTGTAGAATTTACTCTGCCATGTTGAAAATGTGAAACTTTTCTCTCCCTCTCCCAGTTATTTGTTAAACATGGACCATGAAATATGTACCATGTGTAATGTGGCCAAGCACGCGCTGCTGTAGGCTTGCTTTGGAATTTCCTGACTTCTAAACGCTTGGTCTTTCTACTGTAATATAGTCCACATACCTAACAGTTCAGTATTCCAGAAGAAAACACCAACTTTCTTCATGGCCTGGGGGTTTTCATTTGTCATTCTTCCCTGCTAGAGGTAAAACCCCTCTAAGTGATATATATTTAGCATAACATAACCAAATTCGCTACTTAAGAAAAATAAAAAGTGGTACAACTATCCCTTCATTTGCTGCTTCTCATTCTCAGTAATCCTGCTGTTTCAACACAAGGGCAAGTTTGTTAGCAGAATTGCTTGCGAAGTGAAATTTCAAACTTCTTGTACTCTTCCTCATTGATTTCCTGACACGTTTGCCTTCTGAGCAACTTAAGATTTACGCAGTCCAGTGGTTTAAGAACAAGATGGACTCCAGATACGGGCTCTTGAAGTCTTGTCTCTCTACCACAAGCAGCAGCCCAAGGTCTGTTTGTTTTTGAATTTGCTGAGTAGGTTTCAACACCTGTTTTCTCACAGTTGAAATGATACAGTGTGCAGCTTTCAGGGGTTTTG